ATGACTTTTAATGTCTTTATCCGACTTTGATGTCAGAGTTCTACCAGTCTCAGAAGTGAGTTTCTCTATTCTCTGAAAGCATTTGCATCTTCCTTAAATGTTTAGAGTGAAGCCACCTAGTATTCTCAAATTTTTTATGTAATACTTAAATTTATATTTTCTGTCAATATCTATATTAATCACTTTCTGTATGTTTCTTCTGAACAAGACAAGGTCTTTACCATTAATCTGCTTTCCCTTCTCCCAACCCTCTTACCCTCACAATCATTCCTGTCAGCATCTGAGATTATAGATTTGAATGTTAGTAAGCTTTTGTGTTTTTTTTTTTGATCCTGGTCAGCAGTTACTTAATCTTACTTTGCCAGTTTCTCTGTTTACTCTTTTCTTGTACCTTGATTATTGTTCTTGGATTATTATTATTTTAAATTCCAGATATATCTCTTTGAGTAATTCTTTCACCAGAACTCTGAGGGAAGCAAAACTTTTTGTGTCCTTGTACACTCAAAAATGCCTGAATTTCCCTTTCACAATTGAGTTAGAGTTTGAGTAGATATATAATTCTTGATTTACAACTATATCTAGTTGTCCCAGGACCATCTGCTGAAAAGATTATTCTTTCCCCACTGAGTAATCTTGTCACCCTTGTCAGAAGTCAATTGACCATAGGTCTATCGGTTTATTTCAATTCTATACCATTAATACATATGTCCATCCTTATTCCAGTACTACAGTTTTGAATACTGTATCTTTGTAGTAAGTTTTTAAACCAGGAAGTGTTAGTCTTCCAGTTTAGTTCTTTTTCAGGATTGTTTTGGTTTTCTTGATTAGCTTGTCCATTTCTGCAGAAAAAGCAGGTGGAATTTTTATAGTGATTGCTCAGTTCTCTTTTATATCAACTTTTTAAATGCTTTCCACCTCTTTTTCCTTCTATACTATAGTCTGGTGAATTTCTTGGCTCCATCTTTTAGATTACTAATTTAATTTGCTCTCTATGTTTTTCAGTTCTTAATTAGGTGTTCTAGTGCAGTAATCAAAATTTAACTTCTAAGAGTTCTGAATTACTTATTTTTTAAATAAATGTGTTATCATCTTGCCTATCTCTGAGGATATTAATTGTACTTAATCTAAAGTCTTACTCTATTTAAATTGTTAACTTTCTTTGGGTGCAAGTTCTTCTGTTTGTCACACTATACCTCTTTTTCATGTGTGAGTCTTGATTTTTTGTTGATTCATCTTCGAGAGTCTTTGTTAGCCTTCCTATGAATATTACATCTGTTTATTGCAGGAGGTCTCCACTGACTGGTGGGTAGAGGTGGAATGTGCAATGAGGTGGAGTGTACCAATCGCCAGTCTTCTTTAGTGTCTGTCCCCTTTTGCCTGGGGTTTAATATCCACCCAGGGCTCTGTCCTATCTTTCTGATCCAAGTGTTTATATTCATTGTTTCCACGTGGGGAGTGACACCTTTCTTGTTTGGTGCCACTGTTCCCATCTGGGAGAAAATACATACCTCTGTTCTATAATGCTTTATCCAAGGAGGTAAATGGTGGGAGAGGTTAACCTGCTTTGTAACTTCTGTGCTGCCCCCTAACAGTCATGCTGTAAATTTTATAAATTATTTCTGTTCTTTCTGCTATCCTCCACCTCTGGGTTTAGTTTACTCTGAGGGCTGCTCTGACCACTTCCAATAGCCCTCTACTCTGGGTGCGTAGGTAGGGCTGTAGTTTCCTCTTTTCCGCTGATCCTATCAGCTTTTCATCTTTCAGTGATTCACTAAGAACGTTTCTTGTTTTCTTTTGACTATAGATTTAAAAAAAATGGTTTTATGTTACTTGCAGGGTTTGAGGGGAAGGGGAGCTTGCTTGCAGTGTGCTTAGCCTACCATCTTGATTGCCAGCATCATATTGCCAGTGTTATACCATCTTCATCAACTGTATGGTATTTATAGTGAAATACACAAAAAGGAGAAAAAAGTAATAAAAATAAAATATTGATGAAATGATTGAAGAAATTGTGGTTTTTGTTTTAAAGAGAAGAAGCAATCATAAATGAAGATTGGCGTTCAAATATATAAAAATTAAAGCTTCAATGAACAAAACTTCAGGAATATATTTACATGAAATTGGAAAGGCATGTATTTGCTGTGTTGCTGGTTTCCTTTTTTTCCCTGCTCTTTGGCTGAAGGAAGAAAACATGGGTTCTTAAGTTAGTGCCTACTCTGTGTAAATAACTTCCATAGAGTCAACATTAGCCTAAGCTGTGACAGACTTATGTTGGTTGCTGAGAGAGAAACAGGCCAAAGACGTTTGGCAGAGCTCTGAGAAAACATCAGAAAGGATTTTTGATTACAACTTTGGTTCAGTAATTTTCGGTATTACTCCCTCACTGGTATTCTAAATTTGTTTTATATTTTCTCATTATAAAATAGGTCGTAGAATTTTTGGATAATATAAAAGGGATGATAATCCTCAACCCCAGTCATAACCACTGTTAACACTCTTGGTGTGTTTCTTTACAGTGTTTTCTTATTATAGCTTTAAGAAAAGTTAAAGTAATATGGTATTGTTTTTCTTCCAGTCCAAAAGTAATGCCTACTTATTGAGAAAGCTTGGAAAATAAAGACCAGCACTAAGGAGAAAAAAACAAAGTCACTCATAATAACTGCCCAAAGATAACCACAAATAAAATTGAATGTTTATCCTTACCATATTTTTCATGAATACATAAAAACATTTTTTCTTTGTTAATGTAATATACTCTGCTACTATTTTGTACTTTGCACTTTTCATTTGCAATATATTGTGAATGTTTTCTCATGTTAGTAAATAGTCTTGTATATACTCTTCAGTGCTACAAAAATATGAATATATTTAAATATGTTTATTTAGCTTACTTACTTAACCATCTCCCTATCATTGGACATTGAAAGCATTTCTAATTTTTTTCACCATTATAAATAATATCATAGTATCTTTGTTCCATACATCTTTCCATGCATCTATGATTGTTTCTTTAGGAATAAATTCCTAGAAGTGGAATAGCTGGGTCAAAGGGTATGTACATTTTAATGCTTTTGATGCATAAAAATGTCAAATTTTAAGCTAATCATTTGTTATATTATGTCTTGTATTGCAGTGTAATTGTTTTATGTGTCTGTCTTGTCTCCTTAATTAGAATATAAGCTTCTTGAGGGTAAGGGATACATCTTATGTATCTTTTAATATTGTGATTTACAATGTTGAACTTATGACTCACCGACAAATAATTGTATTGATTTAAAGCTGTGGTTCTTCAATCTTTGGATGTCATAAACCTGTAAATTTAAAAATATGTTTATTTTGGGGATATACATAGGCTTGCAAATTCTCTATTTTTCGAGAAAGAATATTACAGAACAAAATCAACTACCATTTCCTATTAACTTAATCTCAAAAGACTATTTAATAACAAAAAGTTTCTAATTTCTGAAAAAAGGACAGGCCTTTAAGTGAAACATTTTAGTTTTTTAAAAAATTCACTGCTTTGTTCATATTTTTCTCATTTTGTATTGGACTGGTGAATTTTCACCCATTTGGGAACTACTGATTTAAAAGATATAAAGGATTAACAGATAAACCCTTTTGCAAAATAAATAATTCTTCCCCTTGCCCACAAGTATGTCTTCTCTACAATATAAACTATACATGTGCAGGTAATGCCATTTCATTACACAGAATGTGTGTATCTCTAGGTACAGGTACTACAGTGGGCAAAAGAGACCTTGCTGATGAACATCTGAATATATTTCCATTTGCCAAAACCGAAAACTATATGCTTTCTAAGGAATTTGAGACAGGTTAAGTGTGGTATAGCAGAAAGAAGGCAGGTATTAAGAGTCGGTCTGCCTAGGCTTGAATTCTGGCTCTGGCATTAAGTCACTTAATTTTCCTTTAGCTTCCTTACTTGTAAAATTAAGATGATAATATCTTCCTTGAAGTGTTTTTATAGCCCCTGTTATAGTCATTACTTCACTGTAATGTAATTATTTGTTTAGGCATCTGCCTTCCACAAGACCGTGAGCTCTTGAGGATAGGAGTCATATCCTCCTTAGGCTGCCCTGGAGCCTAGCCCAGGGCCCGAGGCAGAGCAGGTGCTTAATGAAATGACTGTTGAACCCATACAGGATTGTTATGAGGATCAAATGAGGTAATATGTGTAGAAGCTCTTTGTAAGCTTTAAACTCTATACCAGTGTTAATTGTTTTCATTGCCTGTAAGAGCTGTCTTTGGGAGCTATCAAAACTTTGGGAAGAGACAAGAATTATCCCATTTAACAGTTCTATAATGCTTTGCATTTTTCTTCTATTTTATAAGAAAACAAGTTTTAATTGGGGTTAAAGTGCAGCTAATTTGCTTCCTGGGAAGGTAGAGGAATTTCCTTTTTTTCTCCCCGGACAATGGAACTGTCAAGATATTAAATGTTTGTTTTATTTGGTTGCTACCATAAAATTTTAATTATAGCAAATCAGCTTATTTCATAAAGAATGGTGCCCATTGCTTTATCCTCTTAACCATATAACTGATAAAAGGATACCAAATCTGAAGGAGAACAGGAATCTACATTATGCCAAAATAATTTTAATGAGAGCTCCCTTTTTAATACTCATTGACTTTTAAAAATATAGTTTCTAATCTGTTTATAAAGCTCCTGGTGAATTTTTGCCACAAGATGGCATTGGTGATTACTGAATGCATGTTCTGTTGAACCAGAATTCAAAAAAATGGTGCGCATAATTGTTTGTAAACTTTTGGGGATGAGTTGAAAACCTTCATCATTGCTTTTATATATTAATTTAATTTTGTTTTGACGTACAAAACAGGGATAAGTGCTACTGTACATCACTTCTTTCTGTATTCAAGTATTGTTTTGTTTCCTGTTTTTCTGTCTTTATTACTACAGTAACTATGTATTATTTGCCATGTGTTGTATGTGTCTGACTTATTGCTGATAATTGTGGTAACAGGTAAGAAGAAAATACGATGGGACCCAGTTAGGAGGCGCTTCATTCAGTCCTGTCCCATCATAAGGATCCCTAACAGGTTTTTGAGAGGTGGGTGATAACTAGCAAGAGACTGTGCTTCGTATGGGTTAAAGGGAATTTTGAATGAATTTTCTAAACTCAGAATTCTGGTTTTTAAAAATTGTCTAAACAGCTAAAATTGGACAAAGGAAAGTCTAGAACTTAATTTTAAGTCTATGTTTCCTATTGACCACTGTTGGAATTGTAACCAAAAGGTTTAGGGAGTTAGAATCACTTAATGTGCATTAGATGGTAGAAATAAATCATCTCACTGATAACAGTATTATTCCACTGTAACCATATTAATAGGAACTTTGAATGAATAACTTATAAAATATGGGGGTGGGAAAGAATTGTCTAAATATGACTTTCAGGAAGAAATAAAAATTAATTTATGTGACTGTATAAAATTTAAAACCTCATGTCAAAAATCATGAATAAAAAGATAAAAGGAAATATTTGTAATAAATGGTTAATATCACAAATATATAAAGAGCTCTTACAAATCAATAGTTTGAAAGCAAATACCCACTAGAAAAATAGGGAAAAGAACATGAATAGTCAATTCATAAAAAGAAAGGTCAGTAATTATGAACCAATATTTATTTTTACTATTGTTATAAACATGATAATTAAAATAATAAGCCATCATTTCCACCTATTAGGTGGGCGAAGACTAAAAATAAGAATACCCAAGGGTATGGGGAAATGAAACTCATATATTGAAGGGAGTGTAAATTTAACACAGCCTTTCTGGATTTAATTTCACAATATATGTATCAAAAGCCTTAAAAATGTTCACATCCTTTGACCTAGTAATTCTTACTTTTAGAAATGTTGCATTCTTTCTATTTTTTCCAGTAAAACATACTCCCTACTGAAAAAAGAAAATCCCAGAAGAGGGTTGAAAACTCTGGTTCCCACTATTTTTCTAGGTATAACAAATTGTCAGACAAGCATGCTTAACATTACAATTTAGACCTTGTTGTTTGTAAACCAGTGTATCTAATTTTGATTGAAGAGATTACTTTTTTAAAAAGACTAGAAAAAAATCCTATAGCAGCTAAAGATGTTTCTGTATTTAGTGCCTATCTTTAGCAGCCAAGCTCCAGAGCATGGAAAAAAAAAAAAAACCTAGTCTAAATGGGTCAAGATAAGATACTTTGGGTGCTGTGCTACCTTTTAGCATAAATAATTTTACTGATAGAAGCTAAGAGAAATTTTAGTTTTATGTGACCAAAAAACCATTGTGCACATGTGGCCAAGCAGGTATATCTAATTCTATAACATTTTTTTCTTTTTTCTATTTAAAAATTAGAATGCTAATTTATTGATTTACAATTAGATAACTTGGGCTGACTAAATTTAAATATAAGTAAGAAATTGTTTAATTAGGATATAGAATTCAATATGATATAAATTTTGTACAAATATAAACAAAAAACAAAGGAAATAGTGAAATAATAAATGTAGATGGTAGGATTTTAATTTTCTTTTGTACATTCTCTGTTGTTCAATATTTTAATCATGGAAAAAAGAGATTAGCACAGGTAAGTTTCATAACTTTGGTTATTTTGTAAGCCCTAAATTGCCTCAAACAATGGCTGAGGAAGATGGTCTCTAACAGTGCTGAGAAGAGTGAGGCGGGAGTAAACTCAGCATTAGCGCAACATCAAGATCACCAGTGACCACCTCTAAATCAGTGGCCTTGTCTCTTAGTTCTCATCTTCTTTGATCTGTTTGTAGTGTTTGATCTGTTGACCACCTGCACCTTCTTAAATTTTTCTCTTCTTTTGGGTTACTTTACTGTACAATCTGAGATGTTTCCTTCCTACCTCTTTGATTGTTCATTCTGTTTTCTTCACCAGCTTCTTCCTTCCTACTCACTAAAGATGGGTATTGCTCCAGCGTTCTGTCCTCTCCATTATCCTCCTTTGGTTATCTCATCAGATTTCAGACTTAACTAACCTCGTTCGTTCGTTCGTTCATTCTTTCATTCTTTCAGCATTTCTTGATTTCCTATGTAACAGACACTGTACTAGCTCAGTGATCTAGGTAATAGAGAATCAGGTAAAGAAACGATTACAGAATAGTTTGAGTGTAATTCTTTGTGTGATAAGTGTCCTGATGAGGTAATATGGTATGGGAGGGCACAGAAGAGGTACCTAACCACCTGTGGGGAAGACAGAGAAAGAGAAGTAGCTGTCAGGATGATTTTTCAGAAAAGATGTACTTAAAGTCTGAGTCGGTGTTAGCAGGGGAAGGTTGGAACATCTCAAACCATGGGAACCAAGCAGCTTGTGTAAAGGCAGTTAGGCAGAGCAGAGCATGGCCTTTCAGGAACTGTAGGAGGTTCAGCAGAGTGGGAAAGAGTATGGAGAGAAGAAGCTGAAGAAGCCCAGCTCAAGTGGGGCACCACCTGAGGGGAGTCTTCAAGATCAGCTTATTTCTTAATTAGCGAGGAGATTTAATTGAAAGACCAGTTATGAGATTATTACAATTATCAACGTGGGAAATGATAGAGGCTGCAACTAAGGTAGTTATAGTAGAAATAGAGAGTAGGGAGTTGATTTGAAATATAAGGAAGTGAAATTAGGTAAGACTTGAAGAGGAGGAGGGGAAAGTGAAGAAAGCTTCCAGCTTTCTGTGTGGACCATTTTCTCTTTACCAGGTGTTATATAGATGGATGGAAGGGCAGATTGAGGGAAAAGATGGTAAATTCAGCTTAATCTCCCCAAAGCAATAATAGCATATCCTGAAACACTCAAAGAGTTATTTCCAGGGAAGCCTCCTCGGAAGTCCTGTCTCTTTGTTCTGATGGCACCCTCTGTGTTCCTGCCTCTGTCATTAACACTTATCACACTGAATTACAGTCATCTTTTACTTATTTGTGCCTGCCATAGACTGTAAGCTCTGTAAGGGCAGGGGCAGTGGGACAGTGCCTTTCATTTCTTTGTCTCGAGTTTGTAGCACAGTGCATGTAGTAGATATATCATGTGTATTTGAATTGAATTGAATCATTTGTAAGTCTGCTGTCAGGGAATAGGATGGGACTAGAATTTTAGTACATTCTCAACTTCTTTCTGGTGGTGGTGACAGTAAACTGATGAGTTGCTGAGAAGATGAAAATGCTGTTGTTTAGTGTTTCCTTAGATTAAAAAAAAGCTTACCTATACTTTTGAAATTACCGCTTTCAAGCCTCTCGTTTTAGGAATCCTACACATTATCTCTGTTAATTCTGATCGAACAGTTTCATAGAGCTCATTTTCTATCACTAGATCCTGCATCTTCTCTAAAAGGTATTTCTACCCATTAAAAGTGTGGTGTGAAAACAGTATTGGTGTAGTGAAGTGTTTCCATTACAAAATGATAGGCCAATTATGTCCATTTACCCTCCCATACTTCTCAGATATTATTGAAAATGACAGAACAGATATACAGAAAAGAATGGATCATAATTGTATTGAAAAACAAAAGGGAGGCTTTCAAGCTGGATTACTTACGTCTGAATCCAGGCTCTGCCATTCACCAATTGTGTGACTTTGGGCAAGTTGCTTTTATTTTATTTTATTTTTTTTGCCTCAATTTCCTCATCTGTAAAATTAGGGTGATGATAATAGTACCAAACTCCTAGGGTTATTGTGAGTATCAAGTGAGGTAATTTGTGCAGAGTACTTAGAAGAGTTTTTACGTTTAGCCGACGTTGAATTAATGTTAGCTGCTGTCATTCTTGCTATTGTTATAATACCAGAAAATTTAAGGAATTTCAGAGTAGTAGAAAGCAGTTAGGAGTTATAATGATTGAGGAACAAGAACAGAATAAAATGCAACCCCAGATACGTACTCCTGCTGCATGCTACAAGTCAGAGAATTTCTTTTTTTTCCAGAGAATTTCTTAATAGAGCTCCTTTTCTGAAACTAATCATAGAATCAGCAAGTATAGGAGGAAGCAGCAGGGTAGGGGAAGATGGAACATCAGATAATTAAGGGACTGCCTTCAAAGCTGTTATTTCCCCTACTCCTTCTCTCCCTGCTTTTATATAAAGAACTCTGGCAATGGGATTTGTTCCAGGATAAAGCTATGAGAACAGCACTTCAAGCAACGTTGGGGGTTTGTTTGGGGGGGAGTTGTGCAGGCAGTGCTCTCGTGGGTTGGGATTGGAGAGAATGTGAGCACAAAGCAGGGTTTTAGGTAATGGACCCTCCATGATAGATTGGATGAGGAGGGAGGAATGAGGGGAGGAGAAGACAGGGAGCTCCACCAAAGACTGATGTGCATTTAAGGACCATATCATCAAAATGCAGCCCTCCTCACTTTTGGCAAAATTGCTTTTTCTAAAGAGAAAGCTGTCAGTGTACCACTTACCTACAGAGACCTACAAGCAGAGAGATCTCCCATTTGGAGGTTTGGTGACAGAGTAATACAACTTGTGGAGGAAATCCATATCTCTCACAAGACTAGTCAGTGTAGCCCTTCATTCATTAATATGAACAGGTGATCAAGGCCTACCAGAAATTTGAGGGAAATTAAACTTGAAAGAAGATGACCAAGCTGAACAAATGAAACAACTGACCATGGTGGAAACAGAGATACTGAGGAAGCAGAATGGAGGGTCAGGAAGTTCTCATCACAGCAGGTTTCCTCAGAGTCAAGAGTGAATTGGGTCCACAAATAAAAAGCCAACTGCCATGGAGAAAAAAGGAATGATCAAAGAATTAGTTCCATATTGAAATTTGATTGCTGTAATAAAAGTGCAGTTGGAGAGTTAAATAATACACAGGCTTAAGACCAATTTCTATGAAAAGGAAGTAGGGGAAGTTTATAGACTATAAAGCAAGAGGACAAAAAGAGAAAATACATGAGGAAAATTATACTTTGAGGATAGATCTAAGTGATCCAGTATTTATTTTACAGTGTTACACAAGGAATGTCAATGGAAGGGAGAAAATAAAGAATATTTCCCTACACTGAAGAAAGAAAGACTCTTGAGTTTTCAAGTGTAAAGGGCCTATCAAGGAACAAGCTAGAA